CACCAAATTGTGGAGAGAAAAAAAATCTGTCAACATCGTGTCGTCTCTTTGGGTCCGGCTACAAGACTTCATGCATATGCAATTTCCTCTTGTCCAAGGCACCTGGGAAAATATCTCCTGGAATGCCCCATCCAGGCCTGACATGATGCCTGGTCAATACAAGCCCCACCCACCCCTCACCCATCCACCCACCCCATGCCTCCTCAGTTGCCAGTAAAAGGGTTGTGCTTTGATGGGGATGACAGTCATAGACTCAAAGCAGCTCTGTGGAAACTAATACTGTCCCATATGAGGACATATCTGGTCTCCTCTTCCTCTTTCTCCTACTGCTTCACCTCCACATCCTCTTCCTCCTCTAATTATTATTCTTCTTGTTCCCTCCATGATCTCCAAACAGACAGCTCACCTGTGGCTTATTTTTAGTGCTTAGGCTGATTGCAAAGTGAACTAATAATCTAAAACCTTTTTTACATGTGACAGTGTGCCAGACAGTTGGCAAAATAGTGTAAATAATATATACAGTATTTCTATAGTTTTGCTAGGAATGTAAAGCAAGGAGTTGTGTTTACAGTTCTGCTAAAAGAGTGCTGTGCAGAGGATTGAACCCACAGTTTTGCAAAGTTTTTTACAAAATAAAAAAACTGAGTGCAAACCAGTGTTTGTGCTTTAAGTTTTGCAAACTCAGTGAGTGGTTTGGTGTGAATCAGCATGACTGTCTAAGGAAAGAATTTACAACCAATCAAATAACTACTATTGAGACACAATAAGGTCTTTTGTTATAGCAAGTTGTGTAAATGGCATGTACTTATATAGCGCCTTTATTCAAGTCAGGAGACTTGACCAAAGCGCTTTACACTACATTCATTCACCCATTCACTCACACACTGATAGTGGCAAGCTACATTGTAGCCACAGCTGCCCTGGGGCTCACTGACAGAAGCGGGGCTGCCGTACACTGGCACCACCGGGCCCTCTGACCACCATCAGTAGACAATGCAGGTGAAGTGTCTTGCCCACGGACACAACGACACTGAAAGTCGGAGTCAGGGCTTGAACTGTCAATCCTTGGATTTCAGGGCAAACTCCTACATCCAACGCCACTGTCGCCCTGTTAATGTTAACCATATAAACCATATAAACAGATCTTTCATGGTGTAATAAATGCCATCAATTAAACATCTTTTCATTGCAGCTGCAGCCTTGACTGTTAAGGCTGGTTTATGCTCAGAAACCAGGTTGTCTGCGTGTTTGCCACAGTTAAAGCTACAGTGTGTAATAATTACAGGCATATAAATTCAGAAATTTAATGTATTATACATAACTATGTTATTTATCATCACCTATGAGCTCAGCCTTTTAACCATAACATTTGCGTTGCCTTAGAATTCGTTATTTATAATTACATAGGAGCGGGTCTCGCAGCCATGGAGGCTGACATCTTTGCGCTACGGCAGCGCAGAGGCAACAAACTAGCGATTGCGAGATCTCCCATGACGCTCGAAAATAACTGCGGCAAGTTGAGAGAGATGAACTGAGACGGTACTGAACAGTAGATGGCAGTATTATGCCTGAGAAGCGTTTAGTCTGCCTGAAACCAAAGAAGAAGAAGAAGCAGGTATACTGCGCCTCGGTAACAAGAAAGGTAAACAAGGCGGCAGGCGTGAGTGACTTTGCAAACTGTTTGGCACTGTGTGGCCAAACATCAGACGAATGGAGGATCATGCCTACTCTGTATCACAACGAAAAGCGGCGGACACCGAACCCCCGTCATCTAAGAAGCGGAAACACGACGAGAATAAACGCAAGAGTGACAAGAAACGACAAAAAACACGGATCAACATTGGCACGGCATTTACACGATGGAAGTCACTGATGGAGGAAAAAGGTTTTCAAAGTGACGCTCAAGTTGCCAGTTTTCTCTTGGACAGGTAATTAATCCTACACACACAATTGTCTAATATCACTGCAGTTTTTGGAGTACAGGATGCTCAGACCTGTCTAAAACAATAACATGCTGCGTGATGATGCTGTTACTCTCCAGTATACTTATTCAGCAACGTCCCTGACGTTTCACAGGTAATGATTCAGTAATTTTCTGTAAAATAATTTTCTGGATATATACCTCGGTTACTTCTCTCCGGCTCCTTTGGAGATCTTCAAGCCTTTCCTCCTCTGCTCTCACCCCGCTGGCTCCCCTCTCTCGCCTGGCCCCAGCTGCACGCTCACCCCGGCCTCTCTGCCCTCTTCCTTTCCCTCTTCCTTGCCTTGTAACCCCCGTGCCACAAACAAGACTTGGACTCTGTAAACGGGGAATATATATTCTTCCAGCGAACACAATCTCGCTGTTAAACTAATGACTACAATTACTTCGTCTGTTTATATCACCATGCAAAGCAGCTCACCAAAACGTCACAACGACGTAGAAAAAATAACGGGTATATTTATTATCTTAAGTCTACATGAAATCTATACCCTACACAGACTAATGAAATACTATCTGTAAAATTATCTATGTAAACAAACCTCATCACTTGAGAAGGTAGGTGATGCGGACGTCGTCGAAGACATTTTGTCCCGTAACGCTCGCCGTACTGTTGGGGGGGAGAAGCGGTGGGGGGGAGACGTTCATGTTGCTGCAGTCTGCAGTCTGACCGCTAGATGTCGCTGAAAATTACACACTGTAGCTTTAACGCATATGGCCCCGCCCCTTCCGCAGACACTCTGGTGCACCTCTCCAAAATTGTAGGTAACAGCAGTGAGGAGTCCTGTGATTGGTCAAATCTACATCTGCTCTACTGTATGAATGTTTCCTGGTTGGTACCTTACTGGCTTGTTTTGTTTGTATGATCGCCATTGTGGAAAATGACTCGTGTAGATGGACCAGATAGAAAAGCGAGGTGCGTGAGAACGCTGGGACCCTTTTTCCACCTGGATCCCCGTTCTTTTTCGCCCTCATGTCCCTCCATTGTCGCACAAACTTGCCCCCACTTCCTCACCGCCTCGGTTGTATCTAGACCCACAGCTAGATTCTGATGGTCCCTCTTCCATTGTGGCGTGGAATAACATAGCTCAGACCAAGCCTAAATCAAAGATATCTGCATCATAACCAGCCCTTTATGGTTACAGAATGGGCCTTTTATGGGCCCGCCTCCCGCACAGTAATTGTGTAATAAGCGCAGAACATAGGACCCAGAATTCAGGCAAGACAGACAGTGATTACTTTAAAGGCGCTTATTGAAACCAACTCAGAGCTGTGGATCTGCAGCGGCTCAAGTAAGGCAGGGCACCGCCTATCACTGGAAACTCTGGTGGAGAAAAACACATCTGACAGATGATGATTATCCATAGAACGTGGTAGGATCCAACTGAAGGGCTGCCAACAAGATGTGGCAGGTGCCGCCTGGAGTGAACCAGATGCTACTGTCCCAGAGGGCAAGCATGTTTTCAAACCAGGTCAGGGGAACAGCTTTGAACAGGAATGCTCAGAGGTCCAGGAGCCTGTAGCCCGGTCAGGGATTCAGAGCAGGAACAGTTTGGTTCAGGGTTCTAGGAGTCCAACAGAGAGTTCAGTTAGGACGTTCAGATGGGAACAGGCAAGCTCAGCAGTAGAGAGGATGAACAAGGCAGGATATCTGGAACACTACGAAAAGCTAATAACTTGTTCTCGCCAATAAGCCAAGACAGGACATGCTCATGTCAGGACATGTGGATAAGAGGCAGATCAGGATCAGGAAGTAGGGAACCCTAAGAAAATACTAAAACCCTCTCTCACCACTGGTCCCCGAGAATAAGATCATGAACAATGGCATCAGCAAAAACATCATTATCCTCAATAATCTGGCCCTGATAGCTGGGACTGAGCCATATTGTTACTGCAGAAAAAACTCTCTAGCAAACCAAAAGTAAAAACAAAAAAACAGAGTCTACGAAGGATTTACAGAAATAATAGAGTGAAAGTTAAAAAAATCTTCCTCTCCACCAACTTCTTTGTCTAATATAGATAGATTAACATGCTGGATAGCTTAGCTTTATCTGTTTTATTAGCGCCCCATTAGAGTGGTGCTGTAAGCATATTGTGTTTTGTGTGGTTCATTTTTAGGCATTCAGCTCACAAGTGTAGCCTACTGTGTCATCAAGGTTATAAAGGTGAGAAAGTTACCCATTAAAATCTAATAAACACCTTAAATCAATGGTCATGTTGTCATAATTCATTATTTGGATCAAAATGCTGACTGACGCTCGGGAGAAACATGATGAGATTTGAAGATGAAAGATAATACAGAAAAAGGCACAGAAACATAAAAATATCTGAGGACCTGATAAATACTGGCAAATCACTGAGGCTTAGGTAGAGAGGAAAACAAAAGAGGAATTAACTAAATAATAGGATTAATAGACTCTGGCTGAGGGGGAATAAAAAGGGATCAACACTGGAAGGAATAAAGAAGAGAATAGATCACAAAACCCCAAACTATATAATACTACAGAAAGTACAAAAATGAAAGAAAAAGATAGAGCTAAAAACACATAGAAATAAACAAAAAATGGCTAGAAAATAAATAGACCCAAAATAACAAAACTATCAACGGACTTAAGGCAAAAACCAAAACACAGAATTCCTATAAAAAATAACAACCCAAAAAGGAAAATATAGAAAATAAAAAGTGAAAATATAAAATTAAAACATAAATAACCAGGATCCAGCACCACGTATCAATTTTCAGTGTTATAACAAATACAGTTATTGGACTAAAGTTATAAGTTCATAAAATAAACCAAATAAGAGAAAACTAAAATGCAAAAGTAAATCAAAAGAAACCCAAAACCACGACACACCTGTTGGGTAATGAATCAGTAGCTGGTGTGAAAGTGCAGTGAATAAAGATCTTTATCTGAAACACATCTATAGTCTGACTCATTCCTCTGTATTTCATTCATTGTGCCGTTGTTCTCTTATAACCACCTCTTTCTGTCTGCACGCTCCCTCCCATTGATTCCAGCAGCCGTTCCTGGAGGTGAAGGTTCTTGAGACCGCCAAACGTTCTCGAAGGAACCTTGGTTTGGACTGCGATGAGCACTCCACTGAGTCTCGCTGCTGCCGCTACCCTCTGACTGTGGACTTTGAGGCCTTCGGCTGGGACTGGATCATTGCCCCCAAGCGTTACAAAGCCAACTACTGCTCTGGCCAGTGCGAGTACATGTTCATGCAGAAGTATCCGCACACCCACCTGGTGCAGCACGCCAACCCGCGCGGCTCCGCGGGGCCCTGCTGCACCCCGACCAAGATGTCCCCCATTAACATGCTTTACTTCAACGACAAGCAGCAGATAATTCATGGCAAGATCCCAGGGATGGTGGTGGATCGGTGCGGCTGCTCCTAGGATGTGAAAGATACACACACTTAAATTCAACCCTCATCAAACCACCCAAAACCCTAACGGAGCTCTCCACTCCACATTTCACTTTCGCTCGAAACATCCTGCTGGGTTTCCATTTTTTTTTTTTTTCAGTAATTAATTTGATTCTAACTGTATAAAAAGTTATAAATGAAAAAAAGAATCAAAAAAAGAAAAAAGCTAAAGATGGAAATACAGTATTTAATGAATGATTCGGGTCTGCTTGTGGAGCAGCCTCAGAAAACGGTGAGACAAAACTATGTTCTAGAGTCCATGTTAGTTTTGTGATTTCTATTTTTTATGGCATCTTTGTGAAGTGTCCAGGTTAGTGGAATGTGGTGACAGCTGACATGAGTATATTTCATCAAGCAGCGTCAGTTTCATAGGGTTTGTTCCAAAATATATTTGAGTTTCAGTTACTCTTACTTTTGGGAAATAAAAAAAAATGTATCCATTTAGATTTCTGCAAAGAAGTTGAGAAGGGCGGGGGGGCATGATCATTATCATTTTGCAATTCATGCATTTTAAAACATCTCAATAGCTGCAAATAATATTGACGACAAAAACAAACAGAGGTTTTACTTTTACTTAAAAGATGTTTGAACAAATTTAGAATGTTGTCTGCTGATGTTTAGGAAACTAAAAGTTTGTGAAAATCCAAAACCAAATCTGTTTCCTCTTAATGGCTTTGATATTTACACTTTTTAAGTTAATTAAACTTTTACCTGGTTTAATTCTGTAAAACATGAAGCAGAAGTCCCAGAACATGTAGATGGGAAAGATTTAGCCAATAACACTCAATTGAGGTCTGAGATGAAAACATTGTGCGAATGCAGTTGTGGATTTAGAGGGACGAAAGGACAACCTTCTGCTAGGTCATTTAGAAACGGTAACATGTGATCCCATTTATCATATATCACTATATAATTAATCAATAAATTAAAAAATGTATAAATAAAAGTCATAAAAATACAACTTTGCAACAATACAAGTTCAAATCACAAATTTACAAGTACAAATTAATGAGTACATATCAGACTTTTATTCTTACAAATCACACAAATCACAAATGTGCAAAAAAAAGAGTCACACATTTACAAGCAGCAGTTATACATTTACAAGTACAAATCACACACCCTTGACACGTGGCAGTGTTCCTGACTTAGAAAAGCTCACCTTTACCGCTCCACACATTCTTGCATCTTATTCTGGTTGTCCTTATATAGCAAATGATATTCTCTCCTCTGATGTCGACAATTTGTTTCAAAGGAGGGTTGTGCAAGCAACAAGACAGCGACCCAAAACACACAAAAAATGGTTCTGCAATAGACAAGGAAGGCTTTAAGGCTTGAATCCCAACTGATTCTGCAAAGAGCAGTGCACAAATATTTTGGTAAAATTATACTAGGACCTTATTGATGCCTGCAATAAATGATTTGTCTGCAACTTGCTGAGGGAAAGCCAGTATGTATAATTTTACCAACGAACAAGAAGAATAACAATTTCTATATTTACATCTTTGTAAAAAAAAAACTAAAATAAAAAAAAATTAAAAGCTTAAATGATGTCCCTTTTTTCAGTGCTAGACAGTGAAGTAGTAGCTTTGACAGGAAATGAGATTACTACCAAAACTAACAATATATCAAATCTGGGACTAGAAGAACTGAAAAAAAAATTTCAAAATACCAGCATTAAAACCAACTTTAGCTTAAAAAACATTTGGATTGCATTTTGAAATGCCCCCTTCCATCTCAGCCTCCACCACATCATCATCATCATCATCATCATCGCTGTCATAATGGGAAAAAAATGTTAGTGCTTAAACAGAGTAGATTAGTATGCTCGAAGCTTGTCTTTGTCTCCTGGATGTCAAAGCAAAGATATCCTATGTTATAAAAACGAAAGCACTATGCTGTTGGATAAAGTGAGAGCCTTCTGACATTATATATAAATGATATATGTATATATTAAAAAAGAGGTTACAAAAACCCTTTTGGGGGGCACTCTACCTTACCAACAATAAATTTTGCACTATGGGACGTTCATGGCGTGAGGAGCTGAAGTGTTGTTTGCGTTTTACCAAGCACAAGAGAGCTTGTACAGTATAGGATGAAAAAAAAAAAAAGAAATATTCATGCTTCTGGTGATAAACCATATAGTTGAGAGGATTTCACTTGTTTTTGATACCATCACACTTCCTGACCTTGTCTGAAGCGGGGGCCTGTCCATTCACACACACTCACTCACCCACACGCCAACACTCGGATTCAATCTGGAACCAAGATGTACTGTAAAGGCAGCCTTAGAGGCCTCTGTTCCTATGTGTTCTGTGTAATATATGTCTTGATCTAAAGAGATGCTTTAACTGGAAGTGGCCCACCCATCAACCTTAATTTGTTATTGTGTAAAAAATTGGAAACTGTAAACGTGCATCTGTCTTGTATTGTTTTCCTTATGTGTGTATTGTAAATGAGAGCAGCCATTTTAATTTAAAATAAGGGAAATGGGAGGAGTCTCCAGGAATCGTTAGCCAAAGCAGAGGACGACGAGTTGTGCACCATAACCTTTGTGACTGCAGGAACATGCTAGAAAATTTCAAAGGGAGGATAAGGCTGGTTCAGGGGCTGTGGTTAAAAAAAAAAATAAATCAACGGAAATCAACAGATCAGTTATTTATTGTTTCAAAATGCATTTCCAAGTATGTCTACCTCACTTTACCCTCAATTTGTTATTCTATTATTTTCAGAAAAAACAGTGCCGACATACAAATGAAAAGAGCGACATCCCCTCCAAAACTTGTTGACGTAAAGCACAGGGTCCCCTTGCTCTCAGGTTCAGGTTAGGTCGCTAACAGAGTGACTGACGGTCATGCATGGTCAAAGGAAAAACAGTTAGTTGTGCCCACCTCTGGGGTTTGACTGTGCTCAAAGCTCTTGAGAGTTTTCTTTTAGTGTTTTTAAAACTTGTATGTCTGAGAGTTTTGCTTTTGTTTTCATATAAATATATGAGAGTAACAAATATCTATGTAAATACAACCCAAATGTTAACTTTTATCATGCTTTGGACAGGTTCACCGCTTCTAATTGTGTCTCCCTCTTTTCCCCCTTTCATACCTGTTCTCTGTGTAGTGAAAAAGAAAGGAAATCACCCCCATTTCTGTAGTTTAATGGATGTGTGTATGAATAACTGTATTATTTTTTTTGCCTTTTGTTTTTTATTTACTGTCATTTTCTTTTGTACAATAAATCATTTATTTAGCTTATATGGTTTGCGTTGTGTTTTGATTTTTGTCTTTTATTTGCAAAGATTGTTGTACCACTGTCTAAGGGTGTGAATGCTGAAAATGAGTAAATGTGCTGCAAATACAAAAAGTATGGCACAGACAAGAGACTGTAAAAATAAGCCTGTAAGCTAAGGCTAGCATTAAAAAAAAATCAGAGGAAGGCTAATGCAAAACTTAGGGTATAAACACAAAACTGAGGCTAGCAAAGACAAAACTGAAACTTTAAGAAGAAGAAAGAAAAAAGCTGAGGCTACAAACACACTGAGGCTAGGAAACATAAAACTCAGGCTACAAACACATAACTGTGGCTATCAAACACAAAACTGAGGCCAGGAAAGACAAAGCTGAGGCTAGCCATGATAAAACACGTGGAAAGGCTGAAAATTATTTTTTTTTAAAAGCAAACCTTTGAATGGGAAGGCGTTGGAGGAAAGAAATAAAACCAGTGTTTCAGAGAGTCTTAGACTTAAATTTAGACAAACTTTATTGGAATTTCAATATATACAGCTGTTTTGATAGTGAATGATCAGCTTACTGTAGCAGTGAAATGAACATTTCTAGTGCAGCGGTGATCAAAATGTAAACAGTGTAGGAGAGACATGGTGCAAAAGGCATTTATGTGGAAGGTTCATAGAAGTGGCGGCTGACCAAAAGAGGGTGTTAGGGTGCTGCCCCACACACTCAATGATCCTGATTAACACACAAAAAAAATTATAATTCAATTTTAAATTAAAATGGCAAATATTTTGAAATATATTAATATATAATTTTTTAAGTGTGCAAGATAAATATTTCATCTTAAATGACGAGTAAAGCGCCATTTCATTTTTTTTTTCAGATTGGTGACATATTTCCGCCCTAGGGCACAAGAATGTTTACAAATTTACTCTCGTTAAAAGTTGTACATGCAATACAAACGTATAGGATGGCCCAGGGTGCAGCTAAGCAGTGACCTGAGGTAACAGGAAGCGTATTTGCTCACCACCTCCCGCCACCGCGTAGATGTTTTGTGGGTGATTGACAGGTCGAGTTGTTGGATTTGAAAACGCATTGGAGACAGAGATAGGGAAACGGCGCAAGAAAAAATAGATGTGTAGCCTCTTGGCACTGATCAGCCAAACATCAATATTAATCAGCAGTCCAAAGACAGAGGGAGGCTGTACACTGGGTCCTTTTCCAGGAACTGGTTTAGCAAGAAGAGGCTAATGCTTCATTGTGCTTTCGCTGCCTCCTTTTTCAAACGTCAGGATCTGACCCAGTACGGATAAAGACAGCTATGACCGATTTAAAGCACATTTTAGAAAAGGCAAAGAAGAATGAACAATCTGGGATTTACAATGGAAATAATATAACATAGATTACTTTTTCTAGATGTTTGTGAATTTGTATAGTTGCTCTTAAATAAACACATTCTCAGAAAATAGTTTTTATATATTAAAAAAATATAAAGCTGACTAATTGATTCTCCATTATTAAACTGGTACATCATTTATTTTATGTTTGTGATACAATATTGGACCATGGAAAACGAAATGGAAATGGAGTCATAGCCTTCCTTATTCAGAATCCCTTTTACCCTGTACAAATCTCCCACCTTACCAGCACCAAAGCAACCCCAAACCATCACATAAACCGTCTCATAAACGTTCTTCTTTGTGATCTAAACACCTCAAACTTGGATTTATCCGTCCAAAACACTTTTTCCAGTCTTCCTCTGTCCAATGTCTGTGTTCTTTTGCCCATCTTAATCTTTTTCTTTTATTGGCCAGTCTCAGATGTGGCTTTTTCTTTGCCACTCTGCCCTGAAGCCCAGAATCCTGCAGCCACCTCTTCACTGTAGATCTTGGCATTGGTGTTTTGCGGGTACTATTTAATGAAGATGCCAGTTGGGGACCTGTGAGGCATCTGTTTCTCAAACTAGAGACTCTAATGAACTTACCTTCTTGCTCAGTTGTGCAACGCGGCCTCCCACGTCTTTTTCTACTCTGGTTAGAGCCTGTTTGTGCTGTCCTCTGAAGGGAGTAGTACACACCGTTGCAGGAAATCTTCAATTTCTTAGCAATTTTTTCGCATTGAATAGCCTTCATTTCTAAGAACAAGAATAGACTGTCGAGTTTCAGATGAAAGTTCTCTTTTTCTGGCAGATGAAAGTTCTCTTTTTCTGGCCATTTTGAGCGTTTAATTGACCCCACAAATGTGATGCTCCAGAAACTCAATCTGCTCAAAGGAAGGTCAGTTTTGTAGCTTCTGTAACGAGCTAAACTGTTTTGAGATGTGTGAACATGATTGCACAAGGGTTTTCTAATCATCAATTAGCCTTCTGAGCCAATGAGCAAACACATTGTACCATCAGAACACTGGAGTGATAGGTGCTGGAAATGGGCCTCTATACACCTATGTAGATATTGCACCAAAAACCAGACATTTGCAGCTAGTCATTTACTACATTAGCAATGTATAGAGTGCATTTCTTTAAAGTTAAGACTAGTTTAAAGTTATCTTCATTGAAAAGTACAGTGTTTTTCCTTCAAAAATAAGGACATTTCAATGTGACCCCAAATTTTTGAGCGGTAGTGTATATTTATATCTGGTCAAAATTTGCCAGCAAAAAATTCCACTGCAAAAAAGTCAGCTGCGAGAAAAAATTTGGCTGCGAATATTTGCCTGCAAAAAATTCAGCTGCAAGAAATTGAACTGCAAATGTGTTGACCTTTTGGTGAACTCAAGCCAAAGCAATCAATACTCAATGCAGTCGAGAAGCTTCTAGCCAATGAAATGAGCTCATCTGGTCACGTGACACAACAGTTGGGCATAGCTTGGTTCCCAGCTGAATGAAGCTGATGAGTTTTTTTGTAAAATAGATATGATTACAAAATGCCAGGTAGCTTCTAATAGACAGCCATTAGAATTTTTCATCTAAGCGGACTGGGTGAATTAACTGAGCAGATCACAGCTAGTGCTGCATCCCTGTCTTTCAAGGATCTTGTTTTAATCCGGAATAAGCTACCGGTGGCAAACGTAGTTTTTTTTCTGCCAAAATGAGCTAATTTCATTGGCTAGTAGCTGCTCGACTGCATCAAATGTAGACTGCTTTGGCTTGATTTCATCAAAAGGTCAAAACATTTGCAGTCAAATTTTTTGCAGGCAAATTTTTTGCAGCTGAATTTGTTTTGCAGCTGAATTTTCACCAGATAAAAATTCAGTGTAAGCACTTCAATGTGTTAAAAACAATTCAGTGTTTAAAATTTGGTGTGCAAAAAAGGCAGATTTCAATGACACTGTTTTACTTCCATACATGTTGGGTACTCATGGTATTAAATATGCACACAAAATATGTGTTCTTAATGCTAGTGGCGAGTAGTTCACACAAAGGTTTTAAATAAAAGTGTGTGTTTACTACACGCATAAAATTTTGTGAGAATTCTGACTTCGTATCTATGCATAGTGGAATAAAAAAAATTGTGTTGAAGGTTTTTTTTTGTCTTTGTGTTGCAGGAGAAGCATTATTGGATGCCTTTTTAAAGTGTTCTAAACATTAAGTTCATAAATCTGTAAAATTAATAGACCTTAAAGAAAACACAGTTCTGGTGACCCACTGGTTGCAATGTTATTATTGGAAAACAGAAACAGGCAGGAGAAATCACAGAAATCAAAATCAGCTAATTGGTGTAAGACAACATTCTGAAAACAAAGGGTTAGTGTTACAGTTTCTGCTTGTTATTATTTGGATTTCATATAAGATCCAGTCTGACCCAATTAATATGCCACCTGATAGGAGGGCCTCTCATCAACCTAATTTAGAGAATCAAATGAGAGCGAGAGCGCAGCTCTTTACGCATGCAAACAAAGACCACCCAGTGCAAGCTCGCAGAGTCTGATGCCAGGAATGACATAAACCTTTTGACAAATTCTCACTCCATATAAACAAACAGTTTAAATTTCACACAGTCTCCTGTCCATACACGTCATCAGCAGAGGCATCAAGTTTAAATACTCTTATACCTTACTAAGTAGAAATATTTTTGCAATAATCTCTACTTTCTGCTCCTTTCATTTTAAAAATAGACTCGTTAGTTTTGTTTTATTTGAGCTCATTTTCCTTACGGCTTGTTGGTATTTAAAACAATTGAAACCATCAAAATCATTTGTTTCATCCAGATCATTTCTTTGTGGTTGGACTCGGTGCTGCACCAACTTGTTGTTCACCACATACCAAAAAAAATAAATAGTTCTTTAAGTTGATGAAACATTAAATTTGACAGTGTTGCCATTAGTTATTAAACAAATTATGTCTAAAGAAATTATCATCCAGAATTGTAGAAACATGTTATTTTAATAAGGCAGTGCAGTAAAGCATCTGTCCTTAACATTTTTTTCTGCTTTACTTTTACTTTTATACTTTAAGCAGTTTTAAAGAATTTTACTTTTACAGTTTTACTTGAGTGAAAAGCTTAAGTTGATACTCTAACTTCTATAAAAATAAAGCAGGATTTCTACTTCTACTGGAGTAATAAAGATAAATACTTTTGACACCTCTGGTTATCAGTCATACCCACCCTCTAAAGACAAGGGAGGACATTAATTAGAGTTTGTTTTGTTTTTCATTGTTGTTTTGGGGCATAAGAAGCCGTTGTATTAGTTGAAATTGATTGTGTGAGATTTAATGCATCACCTAGAGTTTCCTTGCAGCTGATATGTTAAACTCTGACCTTGCTTCACTGAATAAACTCTGCAATAGAGATGCTTGCTGAAGAAAAGCAATAGCCAACAGTACAATCAATATTGAACATGTTTCAAAGTAGTTAAACGAAGGAGCTGAGAGGATTGAGGAGGAGTTTTGGGGCAATTATAGCCATAAAGTTTATAGTGAGGGTAAACCGGACAGATCGCAATAGCTTAAATTGCTGTACACTGCTCTGGCTTAGTGACTATTTAGAGGGGACGACTGCACAAGAAAGATCAAAAAGATGCAAGAAACT